CCTATAATCAGCCTTCATACCGTTGGGGACTGGGCTTTGGTCCCCATGAGGAGCATCTTGTCCCCAGAAGGCTGTGTTTTTATGGCACATGGTCCACCTGATGCAGCAAAAACATGTCGATTGCTGCATTGGGGGGATGTTTTATGGGTAGAGTAGTTTATTTTTCCTGTAATACTTCATTATAGTTTTTTAAGACAAAGCTAATTGAAAGGGGCGCTGAGCAGAGTTACAACCAGGGATTACAAATAATTACTTTTTTCTCCTGCAGTTCGGTGCCCCCTCCAGCAGATGGCGCTCTAGGCGACCGCCTAGTTCGCCTATGCCAAGAGCCGGCTCTGCTTTGCTGTTTTCAGAAAAATGTTTAGTGGTGAAAACTAAAACGAATTGGTTCAGATTTTCTCAAGTGTCTGTTTCTATTTGTCTGTTAGCAAAAATATCATAAACCATTGGACAGATTTTAATAAAACTTTTAGAAAGTAATGTTTGAACATGTCTGATTAGTCAGCCCAAGCCAAGATGGCCACCACAGCTAATGGACGTTGCTAAAACTCAGAAATGTAGCTAAAACTTGTGTGTTAGCAGCTTCACATACATTCTGATGAGGACTTGTCTCCACAGACCCCAGGCACCACGGGACCTGTCTGCACAGGTCTGATCCATCGCACCGAGTCTGGGTGGAAACACTGTGTGGAGAGACTCGGTCGACCGCCGTCCACGCTGCTTTCTACACAGGAGGTGGGAGAGCTGGAAAACACACCCGTCGGCAAGAAAGACCCTTTCACCGATGAAGACGACCACTTTTATTATTTTAACGGAGTCCTGAAAAAAGTGCAGAATCAGTTCCATGTCTACTCCGAGCGGCTGAAACCACGACATCGCAGGAGGTCCGGGTCCACAGAGGGACAAAATGGAGACACTCAGGAAAACCTGATCAGTTATCTTCAACGTCTCGTCAAAACAAACAAGATGTCCTCGCTAACATAAAAAATGTTTTTGAGTTAATATTATGAAAATAGAGTTT